CTACTGTATCTTGCTTCCTATAGATTGATCCCACTCGGACTATTTCTGCAGGGAAAGTCAACCTCGGTGCCTTCAGAACCTACCCGAAGGTAAAGCAAAGACTTTAGCAGCAGTCCTCTTTGGTCTTTAGTAAAATCACAAAATATCTGTTTTTTCATTCTTCTTGTGCATAGCTGTATTTGATTATTTGAGACGTTTTAAAAAACGAATTTAATGGTGGGGAATTGGTAAAAAAAAAATTAAAAATTTTTTTTCAGTCACTCTGTATTCTTAATTCCTTATTACTGTAGTAAGTACTTAGTATTTCCTTTTTGGATTTTTAGGGTTACAAACCCCCTGATGAGGGACCCTCAGAATATCAGACTATCCCCCTGAACAAGATTGAAGACTTTGGTGTACACTGTAAACAGTGAGTATTTATATTTGCTACAGTATTGTACCGGATCAAATACTTGTGTAGCATGTACCGTATCACACATTTTTCACTGTTTACTTTATTTTCAGTACTTGCATATGCGCTTCTTTTTTCTGTCGCTCTCCTTTTTAGGTATTACGCCTTGGAGGTTACTTACTTTAAGTCCTCCCTCGATAGAAAGCTCCTGGAACTCCTTTGGAATAAATATTGGGTTAATACCTTAAGTTCTTCAAGTCTCCTCACGGTATGTAGGGCATTTCAAAAATCAAAATGTTTGCTATTTGTTTGACATTTTGATTTATGGTTAATTATTACTCTATAACTCATTTAGACATGTGGTCACCAGCTTGTGATGTCATGATTTATTGCTGCTTATTAGCTAAGCGTCCGTGTTTGTTGATTTTAGTAATAAGCTGTACATGAACTTTTTTTCACAATGGAGATAAGTATTAAAGCTGGAGCCGACTCCATGATGCTCCTTTTCCCCCTTGCTGTTCGTTCGCCCCTCATGTAAATTTGCATTGTGGATGCAGGAACTCTGTCCTGAGCTTGACTAAACAGTCTAAATAGGCATCAGGCTTGTCCAAACAGTTGGTTTTTTGGCGTTTTGGATGAAGATGAATTGACTAGATGTCAAGAACGGGCTGCTTTATGGGTGACGGGCTTTGTCAGTTGCTACACTGTCACCCCAGCCAGGGGCCTCCCTTGTCATTGTGTTTTAATTACCTTTTCTACCATAAACACGGCCTCACCTTAAGCAAACCTTTCACTGACTTCTTTTCATTCACCACAACCCATAAAGTGTTCCTCTGGCTTTTTAGACATATTTGTTGCCATTCTGCAAAAAAAGAAAAAAAAAAGAAGGAAAATCTGTTATCAAGCTTTTAGTGGCAAATTGTGCATGAGTCAGTTTCTGTGTGTTTGTGTGTTGCATGGTCAGAACTCAGACTACACCACGGGCCAGGTGTTCGACCTGTCAGAGAAGCTGGAGCAGTCGGAGGCCCAGCTGGGCAGAGGCTGCTTCATGCTCGGATTAGACACACACGACAGAAAGTCTGAGGACAAACTGGCCAAAGCAACACGAGACAGGTGGGTTTTATTTTCGATAGAATGCTTTAGTAAAATTAAATGTCAGCTTAATTTATTTTGGGCACTGTAACTTAAGTATGATATAATATGACTGTAAATGTATAAATAATATCCCACTAGATGAATAAAGTGGTCAGTGGTGTTGCTTTCAATTATGTAATCATATTTTCTACTTGTGTGATATATATTATTTTTTCCACTGACCTTATAACTGGCTTGTTTTCTTTTATTTCGAGCAGTATTTTTATCACATCCTCAAATTAAATGTCAGTCTTTTTTAAATCTGGCATTTATTAGGTGTTAAGGACAGTAGTTTATTTTTGTGTTTGTTGCTAAATTAATCTAAAATTTGTTTCTTAATCAGACCAGTGTTGCTTAGCAGTAATCATTCTGTGCTTTAAGATACTTTTTAATCAGTTATTATGCAAACTGACCCCATTTGGCTATTTCAAATTTCTTGATTTAGTTTCTAATAGAATCCAGCTCAGTTATGTCTTTCTGAACTATGCCAAGGTGGTCATGTTTTTAGGAGCATTTTCGTGTGTGTCATTCTTTCTGTGTGCAAACAGCTTCAAAATGTTTGAATTCATTTAGATAAACTTTGTTGGGGTGTAAGGTGGCATCATGTTAACAATCCATTAAGATTTGCCTTACATCCACTCAGGCCTTCAAGGTCAACTTAATGATTTATTGCCTGAAAATTGACAAAAAGCCTTATAACTTAGAAGCTATGATTCTTACAAGTGTGGTATAAAAAGCACCATATACGGATTTAAAATATCATATCATATTTGACCTCTGACCTCTCCTTCAGGGTCAATAGATTGATCTGAAGGTGATAATGATGCTATATAGAGAGATTTAAAACAGTTTCTTTCAGCAATTGTTTGTATTGACAACATAGAGGCATATTAGGAATGACATATAGAGTCTAAGTAGCACGTTACTATATTATGAATTTGTTATGCACATTACAATAATAGGTTATAACTGTTTAAATACGTAATTTGAATACACAGAATATGTTAGAATAAGTATTTTTTAAAAACAAACTTCTGCTGAAAAACCTTTTTTTTCACTTTTTTATTATTAAATATTTAAACTAAACAATAAAGTAAATGCTACACATGTACTATATCCACATGAATTTAAAAAACGGGTTTCATCAGGGCAAATAATGTTGATAGTGGTTTCAGTTTCATCTTTTAGTGGCTCTATAATGTAGTGGTTTAAACCTTCAGCTGTCAAGCTAAACATCCCCGGTTTCAGGATAAGACACAGGAAGGCCAAATCACACACAGCGAGCTACCTGCTGTGGCGACCCCTCGTGAATACGAGTGCAGCCGAAAGTAGCTTTAGTTTCAGTGATATCTGATACATACACCCACTACGAATGTCTGCAAACAGCAACATTACGTTTAAAAAGTCTGCTGACACCACTTTAAATGTCATATCCCTTTATGCTGCATCTGTTTTTCTTTTCTTTTTTTCCCCCTGGATTAAATGCTGATCTTCATTTCTCTCTGTGGTTTATTTTAGCTGCAAGACAACCATAGAAGCGATTCATGGTCTGATGTCTCAAGTCATTAAGGACAAACTCTTCAATCAAATCAACACGTCTGGCAATTAAACCTCAGCCACAAGGCCATTTGAATTACACCTGGAAATGTGTTCTTGTGCATGCCCGGTGCTTACTGATTCATGGTGTATGTTTAACTGCTAAGAGTAGCATCATCTGTTATTTCTCTTGGGAGTGCTTTTCTATTCATTTTTCCTTCATGTAGGTAAGAATTAGAAGAAACATGCAAAAAATAAAACTTAAAAAAGCAGCATTTTGTGGGGGTTTTTTTGGGTTTTTTTGTTTCTTTGTTTGTTTTATATAAGGCAAAGTGTAGCTGGGACAGTGATCGGTTTCAGTGGAAGGTGGATTAGATGTACACTGCTGTCCAAATGTTTACTCTTTAATGCATAATATTATATTCTCAATGCCCAAGGCACGGCGGCATCTTTTCACACATAGCCCTGATTCAGCACAACATTTAAATAACACATCGGTGTGGTCACATTTAACGCTCAGTCTAACCTAGCACCAGTCAGTCATTCAAGTGGTGTAGCCTGTCATAGCATTACATAATGGAACAACAAACTACAGCTTCTGCTTAGGCTCAGCGGGAATCGACTGCCATGCGTGAGATGTCTCTGCGGAGTTGCTCCCAGCACAGTTTGGCCCTCGATGGTACGCTGTGGCAGAGCGGCCAGCTCGTCAGGTTGTGGTGTGGCAGTGATGCAGGGCAGAAACAGAAGCCGTGCACACTGGGGTCCATTCACCCGACGCGCCTGCTCTCCATCGAAGCAGACACTCGCCGAGTCTGCCTTTCTTTCTTTTCCCTTTTTTTTTTTTCCTATTCCTTTGGCCTGGGGTTGTGTGATGTCTTTTTCTATGGTATTGTAATGGCTACATGTATATTTTTGATGTCATGTATTGCAGAGGAGAGAATCCCAGTGGGAGAGTGGAGGTGCCTGTTTTTTCTCATAAGCATGAGCTTTGGCACCACTTGCTATAATGATTTTACTTAACCATGATTTAACCCGTGTCTTAAAACTGAGAACTTTTGGTGTACTGGTTTACGAAGATGGAACTTATTAGATTAGATTTCATGAAGTTTAGGAATATGAAATCATTGAGTAAGGTTTTTGCACTCAGTCTACTGACTAGTTTGTATTTTCGCCAAATATTTAAATGTATTACATGTCTGACTGTCAGTGCTGAGGAGGTATTTAAAGTATGCACTTCTAAAATAGATTAACCTAATGTTTGGTCTTTCATGATTTAAGAAACATGTTGAACTTGTTGAATATGTAAATATTGTGATTATCACCAGATGGACATTTGTATGCATGACTAAAGCTGCAATAAGAACATTTATGTAAATTCTAATCAAGTCAAATTGTGGGCAGCCAAAAAAAATTTAACGATCCTTTTCAACAGATTTCTAATTCTGAAGTATGTTCCCGTTAGTACAAAAAGGGTTCTGCTTGCATGACTGTGAAAAAGAAACATCGTAAAATAAAATAATTTAAAAAGCGTTTTTAATGTATATGGCACTGCTTTGACAGATAGTTAAAAGCCTGCTGTTGTCCAATAGGCGGTATAGATCTAATGACCACACTAATCAGGAGATGGAAAGAGCAGTTTTGCTGTGAGAATGATTGATCCCGCTTCCTCCCCACCAAGGGCTGATGCATAAGCAGAGGCAAGTCACTCCTTCACAGGAAACTCAGGTCATGACAAAATTTAAAGTTTACCGACTTTCCCCTAAAATAAAAACATAAAAAAGCTTTTTTCAATCTAGAAGTTTTACTATCATGTTAGCTGTTCGGGACTTTTCAGTACACTAGTCCCCCAGTTAGCTACTTAATAGCCTACTTCCGCTTCGCTGGTGTTGCGCCAATTTCAGTGACCCGTGGAATTCTGTTGTGTCTCGCGGACGCTACTTCCGTTGTTTCCATAGAAACCATGTTCACGATCTCAAACAAAAAAGCCCAACACGCTTGAAAACTGTGTAGCTATAACATACGTTTTAAACCCCCTTGCCGGCGTTGAAAGGTAGGAGAATGCAGTTAACTATTTATATATTTGATTTTTACACCTGAAGAATATTTAGCGGAAACGTAGAACTTCGTGTTAGATGTAGTTAAGAGGCTAATATTGGGGCTATATTTGTTGTGCTAGCGAAGCTACACAACATAAAAAGGACCCGATTCCTTCCTTTCACTGTTGCTTTGGAGTTTATCCACTTCAGTATGTTACTCCCTGCCCGTATGCACTGCTATAAGCGTGGATTTTCTTTGACAGTGACAAACCGCCGTCCCTGAAAACCCCAGGCCCAGGAGTGTTTGAGTTCAGTTATCGATCAGTGTCTAGTTTTCCTTACACCACCGACCTGAAGCCTTGAGATCAAGCGTGGATGAGACCTGCTGTCACATCACTCTGCTCTCCTCTCCCCAACACTATCTTTTAACTACACGCGTACACAGTTGTATACTTAATACAACCTAAGCTTAATACCTGAGGAAATTAAACTCAAAAAGTATAATTGTATACCTCACGGTCAGGTCATTTTAGTACACAAGCCTTATATAAAAACACAGCGGTCACCTAAAATCATATAATTTTCCATTAGTTATTTCAAACCATGACGTGATTAGGTTTTAGACCATTGAAATATTCAGAGGAAATATTTGTATGTTTTAGACACAGCCAACCCATAGTCACTGCTGTGGGCTGAATGCTTGGCTGAAGCTGAAAGGGATCCTCTCTGAAGCCGAGATTGTGCCAAGCCAACATGGTACATCTGACCGTAGATCTGATTGCTAAGTCTAGAAAGCACTTCAAAAAGAAAAGGGGCCTCTCCTTCCCAGAGTACCTCAAGACACTCACCCACCTCCACTTTTCTAACAAGAATATTGAAGATATTGTAAGTAACCAGCATCTTTAACACTTCTTTAATTCTGTTTTTTCAATTTACTAATTTTAATGCCTAATTTTCTTGATTTTCAAGGGAGATCTTTCAATGTGTACAAACCTCACCGTTCTTTACCTGTATGATAATAACATCACTTACATTGGCAACCTCAGCTTTGCCTCCAACCTCACGCATCTCTATATGCAGAACAACAGCATAACCCATATAGATAATCTGCACAATCTGCAGAACCTCTCTAAACTGTGAGTAAAGTTCAACTGATTGGTGATAAATATATGAAGTGGGAGGTGTGTGTTTGAACATGTATGTTATTTTCGCTGCTCTGCAGGTATCTCGGGGGGAACAAAATTGCTGTGGTGGAGGGCTTAGAGCAGCTCCATCAGCTCAAAGAGCTTCATGTGGAGAATCAAAGACTGACACCGGGGGAAAAGTTGCTCTTTGACCCCAGGACTCTCGACTCCCTCGCTGTATGACCTATTTTTACTCTGTTCGGCTTACTAATAGTATCGGAAAAAAACATCTCCCACACTTCCAAATAACTTAAGTTATCCTTGGTTGATTCATTATACGTTTTTAAGCTATCGAAAGACCAGACGAAGGTCTGACATTCACTTTTCATGCACAAAGATGTGTGTGAGCTGTCAACCCTTGTGTAGGTTATCACATCCAGTGAAAGAGAGATCTGAGATTTCCCCTGATCCGTGTAAGAGCAATATTGTGCAGGGTTTGATGATGTCAAAGAGATCTCTGTTGCTCCCTCTGGTCTGACAAATCAGTTGAGTCTGTTTGCTTCGTTTACTGCCCATGCTATGGATAAACACACCAGAAGTCTCAGCTTCTTGTTTGTTTAGATAAATTAAAGAAATTGCTGTGCAAATTTAAAGAGTTCCAGCGTTTTATAAATGAGCCATTGTGAAACTTCTAACCAGGGTGAACATTTTGCAACTGCACCACACACATATATATATGTAAAGACAACATATCCACATGCTTAAGAGTGCTTACAAGCGAATAAAGAGATAAAAGTAAATGTAGTTTGGACCAACTAGTACTGCTTCCTTTAAGCTCTGATATATGGTATTGCAGATATTTTCTTTGGGTGGGTGCAAATGATTTTTGTCTTTTCTTTGGAAGTTGCGTTGCATATTTGAATACCTGTAGTTTAATATCAAGTTGATTTGACCATAAAAAATATGTTTCATATATATGTTATAGTCCAGGATCTGTTTGTAGTAGTCTGTCATTGTACTGACTGTAACATGAACTATTTTCTTTACATTAATATGAATTCTGTAAATTCTTTGTTCAGGAATCTCTGTGTGTCCTGAATATTAATAACAACAACATCGATGATATCAGAGACCTGGCGGTGCTGAAGGAGCTCCAGCATTTTTCTGCTGCAGACAATAAGCTGTGCAGTATTGAGGTAAATATACGTTTTCAGGACTTACTTGATGTCATTCAAGGCTCCTGCTGTAGTGTGACTCAATTAGAAAGTGAGTGCACGTGAAGTCAAAGTAAATACTACCCCTTCACAGCAACTATGCATGCCTGATCAGGTCAGCATTAACATTGTTCCATGGCTTTCTGCACTGATGTGTGAAATGATATGGATAGCGGGGTTGTAAGGAACTAAATCCTGCAAATCCCGCCAGAGCTTCCCAGTCTCCACGACTCGCACAGGGTCAGAATTATTCAACAAATCAGCGAACCATTCCCCTGAGAATTTTCTCGCTGACAGCTTCAAACAAGCACAAGTTTCTCCCGTTCCTTGGAAGGTTGATTTTTCCTCTCTGCCTTGGAATCGTCTATTTGATGTCGCAAACCCCCGCTGTATCACTTTATGAGATTTATTAGACTCCCTGACGCTATGATGGCAATGATATCTCTGTTTAAACTTATCTGTTAACTGAAAAAGTTGATGGCTTTATTTGAAAGGGTATAATTCTTGCTTCTTATTGGCATTTAATAGCAGGATGACGCAATGAAAGCACTTTGTAGTTGACTTTACTACCTTCTTAAAACAGAAGACTTTCTTTGGAGATCGTTGATGCAGGTAATTGTTGTACACGTGTCATTTTTTTTTAGCAGATGTCTCCTATAATTTATACAACCCGTCTGCCACTATCGATTGCGCAAAGACAGCCCTCCAAAGGATCAATTTTTTCTTCTGCACCATTTGGTCAGAGTCCAGAGGAAACATTATGGATTTTTAAAATAGATTATGACAGGCAGTCAGCCCGGGTGACAAATGGGGAGCATCTTCTGAGGCAGTTAGCTGTGCACGGGGCAGAGAGGACAGGGGGAATCGAAGCTCTGGTCAAATACAGGTTCATAACTGGCCCATCATTAGTGGAAGTGAGAGAGCCGGCCAAGCTCAGTGAGCATTCAGCCTCTGCTGTTCTCCACGCCCCGCGTGGGGGGCAATTTGGCGCTGGGCTCCTCTTCAGTGAGGGCCTTCTGAGTGACGGCCCTGACACGATCATTTATCAAAGCCTGGGAGCGCGTGGTGCTCAGGGGTCCCCCTCTGAACTGATTGCGGCTCAAGCTGGAAAAGTGGAAGCGCTTTGGCCAAGACAGGAAGGCAATGAACAATCAGAGCGTGTCCAGAGAGTATTCATATTTCCAGGCTTGGATTAATGTGCCTTTAGATAAACATACAACTGCAGGCTACTCGCTGGAGGAGCCAGCCTCACACTGCCCCAGGAGAAAACTTGTAGTTACATGACACCGGCGACACTGTTTATTAAAACAGACTGATGTGTTGTTTATGCACTTTCTATTGGCACTTATACTTCATATTACCATTCACTCACACCATTCTTTTTTTCCCTATGATCATCTGAATAGCAATCATAAGATTGCCTTATATCTGTTTTAAACAAACTGGGCTATTGTTTGATGTGTAGACAATAACCTTAGAGACACAGTGTTTCCAGTAGAATAATTAGGGATTCAGACACAACAGATTATAGCAGATTTCCTGCTCTGTGTTTATTTTCAGGAGCTAGAAGATGTGTTCAGCCACTGGTCTCAGCTGTTTCTAATGGATTTGAGTGGAAATCCTGTGTGTAAAAAACCAAAGTACAGAGACCGCCTGATAACCGTGTGCACAAGCCTCGGTAAAATAATAATCATTTGTTTGCTCAGTTCACTTCTAATTTGAAAATACGCTTTCATTATTTTGCTGTGACTTAAATTTAGGAAACACTCTTAAGGATAAAATCAAAACATTCGCAATAGTTCATTTTATGTTTTTATTTTTAATGTTTGTTTGGTTAAAACATTTCTTATAGAGGCTCTTGATGGAAGGGAGATTAATGACTTAACCAGAGAGTTTCTTATTAACTGGAAAGCATCCAGGGAGGCCAAGAAGAAAAAAAATAATAAGCATGATGTCTGGAGCACTCATCCCTTATTCTCTAACAAGTAAGTTACTTTATTTGTACATTTTTTTTAAAAATCCACCAACCTTGTTTACAGTCATTTTTCCCTCCTGTTTTTGCTATTTAATTCTCCCTTTCGTCTTTGCATGGTCCATTAATTCACTTCTTTGCTTTAGTAAGGCTACTGTGGATCTGCTAATATGTATAACAATACTGGAAAACCATACTATCAGTTTTTAGATTAATGTGAAAATCACAAAAAAGTCTGAATTGAGTTTTACATAAGTTCATAAGGCCGCTGGGTGACTTCACACCCATGCAAATTTCAGTAGTAGTAGCAGTACTTGGCTTTGTTTATATTTCAGATGAATTTAACATGGGTCAGGATCTGCAGCCTGGTCACAGCCACGCTAACATGCAGAGGTGGAAGCCACAGCAGTCTCTCAGGTCCAGTATCACAGTTTAAAAAAGCCTACATTCGGCACATCTATGTCATGACTTACTAAATTATTTAACTGCAGACTGAATCCAAATCATAAGTAATAACTGCTGATGGTAGGCTGACCCCAATTCTTAAAGTCCCCCCCTGCCTCCAAAAAAAGTGAACATTGCTAGAGAAATTCATATTTTATTGTAAGAGTCAGTTAGTTTTGCTTCATTCTCCTTCCTATCTTTTTTCTTGAAAACCTGAAAGGAACCATCAGTTTTACTGATTTTACATAAGATTAAAGACATTTCAGTTTAGCCATAAAACGATTATAGAGATAATATTTATTTGTCAGCATTTGATTTTTTTTTCTCTCTCTCTCTCTTATCTTCCAGGGCAGAAAAATTCCAGTTTCTGTAAATAGCCTTGATCTTTTAGCTGTCTCATCAGCTGCCTGCAGTCATGTGGTTGCTTTAAGACAAACCTACAAGTGCACCAAAATCTTCACCCACGACTAACCGTGCTTGTGCCTTGTTTATCCATCTTGATTATTATATCTGCAAAACTGCAGGGAACTCAGAGTCACTGCAGCTTCCTTCACCTATGGCATGTTTTTACAGCATATTCTAAAGTGATTTCATTATATTGAAATAATAAGTAACTAAAATTAATAACCATTGTGGGGGAAAAATAAAGACATTTATTTAATGTTTTTTACAGCTGTTTTATTGATAATTGCTTTGTGTGTGTGCGTGTGTGTGGGGGGGGGGGGGGGGGTCTGATGATTTAAATAATTTGTCCAAACCCAAACTGCTAGTTGCAATGCATTTCCTGTGATGTCATTTTTCTTCTAAATGCATGTCAGCAAATAAGTGAACATAGAGATGCAGAGTGGCACAATCTAAATGATCGCTCTGCTTTATTATTACAAGTCTTTACATTATCCAAAACTAACAGCGTGTGCTTCTATTTAAACAGCCGTGATAAATGATTCCGTCCTCTTTTATAACATATAAAGCCACGACGCGGACATATTTGGTCTCATCGTCGTTACTTTGAGTTTTTGGGGAGCCACGTGGGTGCGTAACCCTGAAAGATGCGGGATAATTAGGGAAACAAGCTTACTTAACCTTCCCTTACTTCTCCTTATAATTAGTGGCCCGAAGCAATACTGTTACCCCATCCTTACAAAAACAATGTTTATTAAGAACACTCTGAGGATACACATATTATGAATAATTCCTTTCATTAATTTGCCGACATCTCTGTTTGGAGCCCTGAAAATCAGAGTGATTAATTTATGAGTCTCACAAGAATTTCCTCAACGCCTGCCTGTTGATTGCAGTGCTGGAGTTTATTTATTAGCTGTTCCAATGAGTTTGCAATTCAAGACACTCTGGCAATTCGTCACATGTTTTGCATATCACCTTACCCTTGTCAGTTTGGCTTCATGGTCTATTGCAAATAGTGTTTTGGTAGACCAGCCTTTTGTTTCTGACTTTAAGGAGCATATTTGAGGTAATTGTGACCAAACTTCTCCCCAATGCCACTTTTTTTTTCTTTTTTTTTTTTGGTGATAGGCTTATGAAGAAAATACAGTGTCAAGTTCGCAGCCAATTAGAGTGGGATACGGCCTGCACATATCGGAGTTGAAGCAAAAGAGAGCCCTGCCTCTGGCGTTGAAAACGAGCCTCTGCTGCCCCCAGACAGAAATAAGTTGGGAAGGGGGAAAGAGCAGCCTTTTCTCCGCTGCGAGCGGGTGTTATGGGTCGAAAGATTAATTACGTCGGAGTGAAATACTTGTCCGCCGCTTTGTGTATCCAATAAATTAAGGGCTCCCGAGACTTACGCACACAGGTGAAGTGTTGGATGTGCGTACACGGGGACTGCGGCGCAGCGTTCCTGCATACTTTATAAGGATAAACTGGACTTTGAAAGGGACCTCTTCTACATTGGCGAGCAAATTCTCCGACCTAACGACGTCTTCTTTGGGTTGCCTTCATGTCGTTTTTTGAGGCAGAGCCGTTGAGAAGTACCAGAGGTAAACTCCCCACCAGACTACCGAACAGATAAAGCTCTCATGCCGGGAAAGACTTGGTTTGGAAATCTTCTGAGCATAAATTTATGTCAGTGCAACTAGACAGCTGTCAGTTATTTGGATTAGGTTTCTTTTTTTGTTGTTTTGTTTTTCTTTGATGCTGAAAGATTTTTTTAGACTTGAAGTGTGTTTCCTGTTTTATTTGCAGCATCATACAGTTTGACCTTTAATCACAGAACTTAACTTATGGATATAAATAAATGCAAAAGGCAGCAACTTTAATAGTGTAGGATAAGTATAAATGTTTAAGTTCAAATTAGAACATTTGCTACAGAACAGCGGACTCAATTAAATATTCAAATTTGTCTGTAAAATGGCTGAAAGTTACAGCTAGAGTTCAAATAAAATGTGCAGCTACAGTGGGCAGGTATAGGCTAACCTAAAACCTCTTCATCCAGGTCAGTAAGTGCACCCCGATGGTTGGAAGACAGACGCTCCGAATGGACAGCGGTAATTGCTCCGGAGCAGTGGTGGATGACAGTCCAGGATCCAGCCCGAGCTCCAGCCCGAGTCCAGACGGTCGTCGTCAGGAGCTCCACCGGGCCAGAGTGCTCCAGAGCGGCGGGATCGGCGGCAGAGGACGCCCGGCAGCAGCGAATGCGGCGAGGGAGAGGAGCCGGGTACAAACGCTGAGGAACGCCTTCCTGGAGCTTCAAAGGACTTTGCCGTCAGTGCCGCCGGACACCAAGCTGTCCAAACTCGACGTGCTGATACTGGCCACCACCTATATTGCCCATCTGACTCGAACTCTGCAGGAAGAAGGCACAGAGGAAGGAGAGGGCACGAAACAAACAGAGGCGTTACACTCACTGAAAGGCGAAGGCTACCTGCACCCGGTGAAGGTCAGTGTTAATAAGCATTAATCACTAGAGATCTAGTTTTGTTTTCAATTCTTCATTAATTGTTTTATTCTAAAATTATTTTGGTGATCATGTTCTGTTAGAAATTTCTCACTTTTTAAAATATAAGAAGTTAGCACAGCCTTTATCCTATAGATGCAGAAAATCCTGTCACACCACCGAGCTCTGCTTTTAGAAATTATTTTACCAATTTAAATATTTCGATTTATTAGTTTCTGTTTTCCCCCTACAGAAATGGCCAATGCGATCCAGGCTGTACGTTGGAGCAACCGGGCAATTCCTAAACACTTCAAGTCCTTCAGAGTCAGAGGATCAAGGCCCATCGTCGTCCACCTCCCAGTAAAATAGGCTTAATTCATTTGTACCGAACAGCTTCGTTTTGTGCATGAGTTCATGCTTTACTTCCGAAGCGGCACATGATTGTAGAACAGCTCCCACTAAAGCACCGCAAATTAGGAAGACCTTGTAAATTAATATATTACGTGAATTTTATTGTATAAATTTTGAGAAAGCATACATTATATTTCTGTGTGTTATTTCGACTAATCCTGCCTGCATTGTGCAGCTCCACACACGTCCCAGGTATATTTACAGAGACTCCTCGGGGCAACGAGCCCGTCATGCTTGAGTGTGCACTTTCAGCTGAGACATTTGCACTAAATGCATGTGTGAATAACTTAACATCTGTCATGTGAAGTGGTCTGTCAGGGAGCCCACAATGCAGGCTCCGAGTCTCATGTTCCTCCTTATTTTTTACATGCATGGGTGTAAATGTGTTTGTGAATAAATTACTTGACAATGAAAGAAGATATGTCTCCAAGGTTTGAACGATAGAAAACATTTTAAAGGTGTTCCAATTATTATTATTATTATTATTATTATTATTATTATTACTGTTATTATTTGCTGGACAGTGATTGTGGTTTTTGTGGTCTCTGAACAGTCACTGTAATTGTGTGGCTGTAGGTTTTAATCAAATCCATCTGTGGTGCTCGATTAAGAATTTGGAGATAACACAAATTTCAAATATAAAGAAACGTTTTAACTTGTCTTGCAGCTGATTTTAGAAATCCGACTGGCTAAAAGGTCTATGTAAACAATAATAATTGGTATTATTTCATCATGAAATATAAAAAAAATACGATACATGAATGCATAATTTATAGTGTTAGTAAAAACAATTACAATCCATACAGTTTAAAAGGGATGACTGCTGTTAAGGTTCTTATTTCTGATTATTTTTCTTATCACTAACATTTAAAATATTAATACTTCACTATGAATTAAAGTGTTATGATAAGTGTTATAATACAAATTTCTTCACTCAAAATATCTTTATTGGTGACTCTGTTAGACTGATTAATCGGATTTCATGATGTAATTTTAAAAATATTGATAAAGCTATGTGTAAATCCCTTTAGGCTACAATGAAACAAATGACGATATTTCCCTAATTTAGCTAGTGCGGATTAAATAAAGGAAGAGCATAGAAACAGAAATTATGATATATTTTTTATTTATTTATTTATTTAATTTGATTTAATTTGATTTTTTTGCTGTCACATGTCCAGATCATCAAGTTACATACCCCTCTTTGTTTGTTTTTTGTGTTTGTTTGTTTTTTTAAATTCACTTTTATTCATTTGTTTTATGCTCGGCCTTCTGTTCCTTCTTCAGTAATCAGACATATTACACAGGAACGTTCATATACAAGTACATAGAAGTAGTTC